AATTGTTTCAAACCACTCTCTCTCTCAAACTTAAAATTTAAGTTAATTACTCTCTCTGAGAATTTAGAGATAGTTTTTGTCTCTAAAACGTTATGGGTATGTTCTTTATCTAAAATTCGCCGATGTTTCTTTCTCTAAAATTTTAGGATACTTTCTCTCTCTAGAACTTAAAATTTAAGATAGCTTTTTTAAAAAAAAAATTGAAATAGTTTCTATCTCTCTAAAATATTTCAGGTATTTTCTATCTCTAAAAATAAATATAATTTCTCATTGAAATTTTAAGATACGTTCATTCTTCTTAAAATGTGAGATAGTTTCTTTCTCTAATTCATTGGGTATTTCGATAGAATTGATTGTATTTTGTGAAGTAGTTGGCTTCATAACGGGGAAATTTGGCTGGAAAACAATTTCCCCTGGTAAAGGCACCGCTAGGGATTTCCAGTAGAAATGAGAAAAATAATTTCCAGTAGAAATACTTTTCTGTACCAAAATTTCAATAAAACCGCTACAAATGCGCCATCTCAATGGAAAAACATGTCTGGGAATATCTTTCGAGTGATCCAAACGATCCATAAAAATATTGATCATTGACTAATGCATATAACTCTTAGTATATGCTATTCAAGTAGGGATAGTTTAGTATGTCCAAGTAAAATCAATTTTGGACATTGAAACCATAAAATGAGCATGCATTAAATCCATGGAGAGTAGGTTAAAGAGCCAAATCTGGAGAGTTAAAAACATTTGATCATTTGATGCCTGATTTCCTCAATCAAACCTTATCATGAGATTAGTCCAAGGCACTTTTTGGTTCAGAATAAAATTTTATACGAAAAAATTCTCTCTTGTTGTTAAGTACGGAAATATTTTTACATCAATTAGTTGTCAATTGCGGTAAAAAGACCAATTGGCATGAAAATATTATTTTTTTTACCCACATGAGAGAATTTTTTCATGTAAAAATGTTTTCTAAAAAATAATTTAACACAAACCAAACGTGTGAGTACGTGTTGATTATTTTATTGGGAATGGGTGTTTGGTGTTTTACGTTATCAGTTTTAGCATCTCAACACTGGTCAGTGGCCATGTTCTAAAATGCATCTTTGTATGTTATTCTCTTGTAACAAACATCATCAAATACGAAATCTTAATTGTTCTTCCCTTGTAACAAACATCATCAAATACAAAATCTTAATTCAAAATGCGATGCCTTCTTGAACAATTGTTGTACTGTGCCGGCTTGAAACTTTTTCTCACCAAGTGCATTGCATCAGGGATTAGAACTAGAAACCTCACCATTTTATTATCCGAAATACGACATATTGAATCAATGAACATAATGTCTTCAATCAAATGAAGAAAGTATAGAAGTTTATTCAATTCCTAATAATACACTGTAAAAAGGTAGTCACACACAGATCCAAATAAGAAATAAAAAAACAACACACAAGTAAATATGAACAAGTTGAAATAAGAAAAGATTTGGAGCATTGCAGTTTCAAATTCACCCAAATAGTGAAGAATAATTGACCACCGAAATTCAGATCTCAAGAACGGGTAGGGGCCTTTCTTTTCCACGCTATGCATGGTGCTCTTATATATGCTCTCAAGGCCTCCACCCACTACTTCTCCTCACATGATAGGACCCAAATCACAACTTGAAAATCCTTTTTGTCCATCGTTGTGTAGGAAACCCGACCATTCCACTCTCGCAATCGTGAAAATGAGAGCTTATATTCTACTGTAAATGGAGCATCACTTGTCTCCCATTCCTCTCCTTTCATGTCATAAAATACAATAACATCATGGAAGCCGTACCTGATTGTTCCAATACAAAAGCATGGATAAAAACTTGCCTGGAAAATTTATTATTGAACCCCATCTTGACAACGATGAAGACTTCAAGATCCTCGGGTTGTCAAGAGACATGATTTTGAAGTGGCTGGTCATTGGATCGAAATGAAAACCAATATCGAACGAATTACCGAAACAAAAATAAATTTTGAACCAATTATGTTCTGGTTCTACTGAGGGGACCCGGAAGAAGTCTCTTTGCGTGAGAGGATTTCCTGTGATAACTTGAAACAAGCAACACCACTACTGATGCATGTTGGTCCAAATACAGTGGATTTTTATGATTTTCAGAAGTAAATAGAACTATATCAACATGCAAGATGGGCTTTGAACTCAATCAGAAATATCAACAAACATATGACATGCAATTCTTATCAAAATACCCACAACAAGTTGTTGTAAATTCTTTGGAACTCAAGAGGATGTACATAAGCTTATAATCCACTAAAAAATCTCCAACCAAAAAATCAATTGCAGCTATTGATAAATTCTTCTGAGCAATCCAAAAGAAATTTTCAGCAAGTATGCACTCATTAAAAATCATTCCAGCAATATAAGAAAATATCTAATAACTATTTTTTTTGCTCATATAATGCTTTCCAACTTTTTTGTAGTATTTCTAGATGCATAAGATAAAGAAAAAAGTTGGAACAAACGCACTAAAACTTATGAATTTGCAGGTACAATTTGATAGCCTTTTAGAGAGATAAAGTGGTTGAAAATAAGTTTTCCAACAAGATATAACCCAAGATGAAACACAACTTTCATGCAAACAGTTGTTGGCAATAATATAGAGAGAGAGAGCTCATTCGAGATGCAACAGGTGCTTGGGTTGATCCTATGATTCTAGAGGGTTTTCACGAGAGGAGAGGCACGTCCCTACATCCAGTTCACCAAAAAATATAAGAGAGAGAAAACAATTTTAAGGAGAGAAGGAGAGCTCGTGTATGATTCCAAGACCTCACGGGACGAGGAATCAGAATCTTTTGATTCCATGTCCTTCCTCTCTCTTGTTTTGGTCTCCGAAAAGTAGCTGTTTCGCGGGAAAATTATAAAAAACGTCCGACCACATCCTATTTGTAATTTATTCAACTTAATTTTTTCTCTCACTTTTTTCTCAAAACAAACTTTTCATGTAAATACCCCCAAGGTAAAAAGTTCATTTTTTTAAGATGGAAATACCTTTTCCGTATACAAAAAAGTCATTTTGGCCACATTTTACGTCAACTTTTGGATCCAGTAGCTAGAGCGTACCATCATATTACATGTGCCCGACTCCTCTAAGATAACTACCCGACCGAAACTAAGTACTGCCTTATCGCTTTTTACATAGTGTGGTAGCCCGGACTGCCCTAACATAACTACCAGACCGAAACTCAGTACCGTAGGATCGTCCTTTACATAGTGCTAGAGCCCAATTATATCGATTGTCGATGCATCCTTTGCAATTGTCGGACACCCCTTTGTAACTGTTGGACTGCCCCTCTGCAATAGTTGGACTACCATTTAGACAGTCCCGAAGCCCTCCTAACCACATTTTACACAATGCTAGAGTCCTACCACAATTACTGAAACCTTATTACTAAACAGCAGTTGGGATAGAAGAGATTGGTGGGATAGAAGAGCCGGAGCCCCTGTTTTGGTGGGATAGAGAAAGAGAAATATGTTCGGTAAAAATAAAAAAAGGGGTAATTTAGGTATTTTTTATGTAGTGGCTGGTATTTACGTAAACAGAGGCACCTATTTTGGTGGGATAGAGGAGAGAGGTTTGGATAAAGTAAAAATATGGAAGGGTAATTGTGGTATTTTTTATTTGGTTGGAGTTATTTGTATTTTGAAAAAAAAAAAAAAAAACAAAAAAAAAAAACGAGAGTTAGTTAGGCATAAACAATGTAGTCTTGGTTTTTTTATTTTTTTTGTAATTTTCCCTAGTTTCTCCACACACTCGATCCAACCATCCAGTCTACCTCGATCGATCCAACAATTCATTCCCAAGAATGAGAGGTACAGAGATTTAAGGGATAACGACTTATATTGAAACCCTAATCTCTACCAAACTTTTACAATTTTTTTTTTGATAAATTTATGGGGAAATCCTTCGCTATTTAAACCCCAATTTGTCAAGAGATTCTCTAAGAAATTGATTTCTATTAAAATTTGAAGGAAGTAATTATCGCTCCCTCTCGTCGGCACCTTTGACCGGGACTTACTTCCATGGAAAGTCCCCCTTATTTTAGACAAATGCTCATCTTTGTTTTACCCCACTGATGAAACCTTAAAGACTCTGGTTTATTGCTTGGGTCGAAGAAAGGATTTCTAAGGCCATTAATCTTCTCTTTTTAGACCCCACCTGCTCCGACCGGTCCCAAGACCTTCGCTTCAGTGATTGATCGGCTGGTTCAAGCTGGTAGGGCAAAACAAGCGGTGGGTTTCTTTGAAGACATGGAGAAGTTGGGGTTTTTAAAGGATAAGGAGGCTTTAATGGTGACTGTTGGTTCTCTGTGTAACCATCGGTTTGCATGCGAGGGTGAGGAGCTCGTGAAGAGAATGGCCGATTCGATCTTTCCTGATCAGGCAATCTGTGATGCTCTTGGGTTGATGCATTTCAGAGAAGCTCGATGAGGCAAAGTGGCTCGTTGGTGAGAATTACAGAGGTTGGTTTGAGCTTGGTGCCACCGCATAAAATTCGATTCTTGAATGTGTATGCAAATTATGCAGGGAAAGAGACCCACTTAGAATAGAGACTGAGACCTAGAAGGTGTTGTTAGAAATGGAGACCTCTAGTGCGGCTCGAAACACCAAGACTTTCAATGTTTTGATCAAATCTTACTGCAAAATAAGGAAGACCCAAGTGGCCATGAACCTTTTCAAGAACATGACTGAATGGGGTTGTAGCCATTCGTAGATTCGAACTGTTTTGATTAGGAGCCTTTACCAAGCTGCAAGATTCGGCGAGGGGGATGACATGCTTGAGAAAATGAAAGCATCTGGTTTTGGGGTAAACATTAAGACTTACTATGGTATTCTGCAGATTCTGTATGGAATTTAGAGGATTGATCATACAATGAAACTTTTTGAAATGATGAAGAAAGATGGGTATGAATCGGGGAGCAAGACTTTTGATTTGGGTGTTTGGAAGCTCTGTGTTCATGGTAGGGCTGAACAAGCCGATAAGCTATGCAAAGAGGCAGAGGAAAGAGGGGTCACCATTAAATCTACTGTGTGTGAAGTTGATCCTAGGTTTGATGAGAAGAAGAATGCTAAGAAGGAGAAGCCAAAGAGAGAGACACTGCCTATGAAGATAGAGAGGAAGAGGAGAGGAAGAGGCTTAGGAACTCAGGCTGAGCTTTGTGAAGAAGCCGAATAAATTCCAGAGGACTTATTGATGATGTTGGGTTGGGATCCAATGTGATGCTTCTGAACTAAGAGTTCGGGTGATTTTTCTTGAAATGGAATTGCTGGAAGTTTGTTTATTTCTTGCCAAAAGAAATGTTGAATCAAGGTTTCTTGGGTTTACAGTTGGTGTGTTTGCATTCCCACCGCATATGTAGGAGAATTACCTCAGGCATCGGTAAAGAATTTAACGAAGCAATGTCTGTTGCACTGAGTTCTGATTCTTTGTTTTAGTTTTATGCTTCAACTGAGGTAGAGATTTCAATGAAATAAAAGAACATATGATTCTTAAATTGGCTAGTTCCTGGAGGATGGGAGCTTAGTTATACATGTTTGGAATAGTTTTAGTTCCAATTTTTGTTGTGCTAGTTGTTATGATTGCCACCCTTTTGTTTTGAAAGAAGTAATATTTATTGGTAGAGTTATATTTTTCTTCTTTTTTATTTTTTGAGGTGATTCTTAGTTGTGACACATCAACACCCTCAACATTAATGTTGAACTAATAGCATTGGTTAGTTGATTCGGAATATGGATTCTCATTGTCTTTTCTCTGTTTTTTCTTTTTTGGGTCTATTACTGTACATGCTCATCTTTTTCCAAACGGAAGTGTATTTATTGACAGATGTATGTCTTTTGCTTCCTTTTAATGATTAATGGCTGGTGGGGATTTATGAGACAAAGCGTTGCTCTATTCTTTCTCTTAGTTTTTTCTCAGAAAATAAGAAAGACGCTTGTAAATTGTCCTATTACTTGTTGGGTTCTCTTCTTTTAATTTGCAGCTTTTCATTCTCCAAATTTTTATTTATCAAGTTTGAGACTTTGACTTTTTCTTTCTTCAAGTGGTCCTTAATTTGCCCAAACGTATATTTTATGTTTAAAGAAACTGTAGTTTATTCCATCAGTTCTTTTCTCAGTTACGAGATATCAGAGATTGAGAAATGGAAACATGAAATTTTGGTCATGGCTGTGAAGGTTTGCTTATTGACCTACTTTTTTTTTTCATTTATCTGTTTTTAGGGGATGGTGGCACTGAGTGTTGTAGATCTTTATTCTTGTTGGGATGGAGTTTTTTGTTTGGCATGAGGCTTATGAATCTGGATAACAATGTGTTGTTGAATATTTGTGTATTTTTTTTTGAAACTTTTAATAGTGTTGTATCGGATAAAAGGGAAATTACAGAGAGAGAGAAGGGAAAAGGGGGTAGAGACCACCCACTAGACGGGGTTCTATACCAAAAAATAGGCGAACCACAGAGCAGTGGCCCTATACAAAAAATGGGGCAGAGCCCGTACATATGCACAAAACAACCAAAACGTTGTGGAGGTATAGTCCACTGAAAGTATAACAAAAAAGACAATGCTCCACAGTAAGAAACGGGAAGGGCTCCTTGCTTAGCGAGGGCATCCGATTCCCGCCACGTATGCCTCCATGAGACGGCAATATCCCTGCATAAGTGAGTAATTTCATAAAAAATAGGGGCGAAGTACCAGGGACAAGGTGAGCAACCTGAGGCCCAGGAGATGACATTCTGGGCATCGCATTCCACAATCAATGAGAGACCCCATAGAGGGTCGAAAAGATTGATGCCCTTGAGGAGGGAACGGGATTCAGCTGTCTGGGAATCAGTGTGGCCCAGGTGAGACGGGAATAAGGCTGAGCTGATTTCTGAAATGCCTCCAGTGCCTGACGATCTGGAGTTACCAAGGGAGCACCCATCAAAGTTGAGTTTGGTTGTCCCGGGGGGGAGGTGACCATAAGGTGGACCGAGAAGGGCAAGAAGGCCGGAGAAGGAGTAAGGACTTCTAGTTGGTTAGGAAGGTGAAGGGTAGACCTTTGAATCTCTTGTAATTGGAGGCCCAAAAGATGACCGAGGAGATAATCTTGTGGAAAATGATCGGAGTCAAGCATTTCTCTCTGAAAATCCTGGAATTTTGCTCAATCCAGATTGTCCACACCGTGGCAGCCACGGATGCTTGCCACAAAATTGGGCCAGCTATTGGCTACGGGCAAGCAAGGTGCTACTTGAAGAGAGCCAGTATAGAAGGGGGAGTAACCCATTGCCATCCAAAGAGGCGGAGTAAGGAACCCCGCACAGGTTTTGGGCCAAATTGCAATGGAGGAAAGGTAGGGGTTACTGTCTTCGCCAGATAAACACATCGAATATCTGTTGGGGATTGCACATTGAAAGCATTAACATTTTAGTTTCAAATTATTATTTCAAGATGATAACTGTATGCGATACTTTTTTTTCTGATTTTCTATTCTAGGTTTTCAATACTTTATAGTATGATTGTTCAATATGTATTACTATATCTTTTGATGTATGGTCTTGTGGATCCTGGGAACTAGTGACTTCATGATGACTTTTTGTATCATAGCAATTTTAAACAAATTCGTAATTGATAGATTTGAAGATAATAAGTGTAGTAACTTTAACATTGAGGTTTCCCATGTGGCCAAGATCATAACACTGTACTTGTTTTGTATCTCTTTTACATTGTTAACATATGAAGTGTGCCTAGATGAAAGTCCCAATTTAGTAGTTTAATAGTTTTTCTTGGTTTAATAAAAATAGTAAAGTTCTGGTTTTTGTTTGATAATAGAGCAAGAGGAGATTGTCAGATCATTTGAGAAGAAACATGAACAACAAAACACTCTATGGAGGGCAATGAAATGATGACCCCTGTGCCTTTTACATGTTATTATGGTGAAATAACTTATTAGGACAACTTTCTAGGATAAGATATCATTGATGTTGGTGGTTGCTTACTTGATAAATGGGTTTTTTAATGGTGTTTTTGCAGTCATCCGGCTTTCTTTCGCCGTGTTTTACATCTTCTCTCTCTTTTAAGAAGCTTTGTATCCATGGGAACTGGTAAGAAATATAATTTATTCACATCTTTTACTCTTTCCTTGTGTTTTTTCTTTATGTTTGTGTCCTAGTTCGTCTAGGAAGTTTAGTCTTATAAATTTGACTGAATAAAATTATGCTTAGATCTTCTTGAGCTTGTCTTTTCTTCTATTGAATTTCTATCCAGCAATCTTTGGATCATATCTCCTACAAGATGATAGTGGCACATTATTGCTTATGACTTTGGAATTCTTGTAAGGATTCTAGAGAAATAGCTGTTCTCTTTGTTTACAAATATTATTCTTTTTAGCTGGTTAACTAGCCCTGAATAGTCAAATTGATTTTTGCAGGTCACTAGTGATTCTATTATTCGTAGGGAAAGAAAGGTGTGAATTGCTTATACTGGCTTCTAAAATGCAATAATTTACCCACGTACAGTTATGGACATGGATATGGAGAATGTCGTTAGATATTTGTGCATTTCTTCAAAGAACAATTGTTTCATGCGGACTGTTCCATGTTGATGCAAAATCCCTCGAGCCTCACCAGATTGTGGTGGTTCACTTTTTGGAGGATTTTGAGTTCTTCAGAGACATCCCACTTCATCTTCTTCACTGCATAGGCCTTGGATTCAATGGTGGCCTTATACACAGCCTTGGATTAGGGTTTTTGGGTTGAAGTCCTCTGTCGCTTCCTTGAGCTCTTCAATGGAGTAGATTTTGCACCTGTCTAAGCATTGGGTGACATCAGCCAAGAAATCCTTCCGTAAGAGGAGCTCCTCCTCCCTTTTGGAATTGATGAGGGGCCAATTCGTAATCGTCGCTATCAGTTATTATTGACTTTTTCCTAAAGGCAAAGATGAGAACCAGAGCAAGAACAGTAGTCAATCCCCCCAAAACCCCAACTGCTATAGACAATCCAGTCAGACTGCCATGTTGGTTCTTGTGAGAAACAACTGAAAGACTTGGTGGTGGTTTGGGCTGAACCAGTTGGGGTAATTGAGAAACAGATACAAAAACAGTGGAGAAAGGGTACGGCTTAGAGAGATTGGCTGTGGGGTTGGCAGAGATTAATGCACTCCCATTTTCCTTAAAAAACCGGCTAATCGACTCGTAGGTATCGCCAGGTTGAACAACATAGGTTATGAGGGAATTCATTCCCCCTCTGTAACTGGATTTATGTAGGGCAAAGGCATCTAATTGGGAAAATTACTTCAACCCCAATTTCTAGGTTAGTAGTTACAAGCCTAGGGTTTGCCACAATAACAACCTGATATGTTGTGGGGTTAAAGGAATTGGTATGTGTATGCTATTTCTTGATCTGATATCTGATATTGGCTTGTGAGTAATTGTTCATACATGCACAATAGATTGGGATAGAGAGGGCCTGGTTTCGGACAAGAGGAGATCTGAGAGAAGAGATGTTGCTTGCTTTAGCTATTCTCAGCCTGCTCACTCCAAATAGGTCACTAATTGCAGTGAGGTTCATATGGTCTCGGTTTAGGGCTCTGTAAAACACATGTTTCACAGGGTCGAGTGTATGAGCAGTTGTAGCATTGACTGAAGAGAGGGAGGAGAAACAACAGAAAAGAACCCATTTGGGGCTGGAGAGAGAGAGAGAGAGAGAGGGGTTGGGGATGTTTTGGATTGTTAAAGAGAAGGAACTGAATTCTATGAGTGCTGCAACACTAGTGAATTCAGCAGAGAAATTTGGATGTAGATTTGTGGTCCTCCCATTTGTATATATTTATAGTGATAGTGGTGACTGTGACACCCTGTGTTCTATGGATGTTTTCTTGGTCTTAGTGGGCTTTTTCTGCTTTGGGGGTGGAAAAAAGCCTCATTTTCCAACTATATTAATTACCCTTCTAATCTTTCAACACTCCAAAAGAGAGAAAATTTCCAATTTCTTTTACCTTACTCGCATTGTTGTCTTTCAAGGTAGGTGGGCACCCTTTTTTTCTTTAAGGATGAGGTTTCTGTAAGGCCTAGGCTTTATAAAAACAAAATAAAGCCTCACCTTAAATCTTCAACCGAAATTTCTATGATGGTTCTAAAATCAATTTCCCAGCTTCATTTTTTGTTCAAGAATCGGTAGTGTAAGTTTCCTAGTTTCAAGGGAATTATCAGCTTGAACCACGTTTGAAGGGCTTTCAATTAACTTGCTTGAAGTGAGTTAGTCTCTCTCTCACTGTTAACTCGCTAGCCATAGTCTCGCTTAAAGCAAGCTGTGTTTTTGCAAAGGGTAAAAAGAAAGCCCTAAAAGACAGATTAGAGTTGGATCTGTCCCTTCTTACGCTTGACATCTCATTTAGGCTAGTACCTAAACCCTATTAGTGGGGTTGGGTCCTGTTCCGACTAGTACCTACTCAGGTCGGGCCCAAGTACCAATCCAATCCGCTCACAACCATAAGCATGCATACTGAAACGAGTATATATGAGACGGAGAGAAAGAAAGTGGATTCATATAATGGTATCATATATAGCATATTCTACAAGTTCGAATCATCATCATCTAGAAACCTTCCCCAATACCAATGTTGTTTCCACACAGAGTTCATGGAATCAAGCGGGATCCCCTTAGTTTCTGGTAAGAATAAGGCGATAAATCCTGTCATGAAGCCAAGCCATCCTGCATAGAACAAGAAAATGCCATACTTGAAATGGCACAGCATTGCCAAGAAGGTTTGAGCAAGCAGGAAGACGGCCACAAAGGCGATGGCCGTACTTATGCTTAGGCCGGCTGGCCGGATCTCTAATGGTAAAATCTCGCTGGGCACGAGCCAAGCAAGTGGCCCCCATGACCACCCGAATGCGGCTGAGTACATGCACATGACAACCAACACTGCGACTGAATCGGCCTTCCTGAGAGGCTTGTCTCCAGAGGATCCAATCTTTGCTGCTAGGAGGCATGCCACTATCACCTATTTGAGAAGTTATGAAGAATTAGATTGCTGAAGATATATGCATATGTGCATGCATACATACATATAAGACATACACAGCTAGACATGAACAAAGATACATGGATACATTGACAAACACGCACATATGTACATACATACATTGATATATACAATCATAAAGATGCATGGACATAACTAAATTTCTGCAAATGTACAAATGTATGTAGGTATATGCCGGTGTAGGTACATATTTACATATATCCATTCATACGATTAAGAATACTAAAAGAGTAAAGAAAATTTAAAAAGGAAGAAAATAATTCTTCAAAAACGAAATGATCATAGTTTACCTGGCAAATCATCATCATGGTCCCTCCAACGAGGAACAGGATCCTCCGGCCGTGTCGGTCGACAACATAGGTCGACACAAGGTTGGAGGACAAACTAACCGCACCCAAGATAACAGAGGCCATCAATGCCGAGTCCTTCCCGAACCCAACTGTCTCGAAAAGGATCGGTGCGTAGAATGCAATCACATTTATTCCAGTCATCTGAGCTAAGAAAGGAATTGCAGCAGACATGACAAATTGAGGCCTATAACGACGTTTTAATATCATTTTGTAAGGGGAAGTAACGGGAATTGCAGCTTTGCTTGCTTGAACAAACTCTTCAAACTCAGCATCAAGTTCTGCGTCGGATCCCCTTGCTTGCCGAAGGGTCTCTTTGGCGAGCTCGGTGTGGCCTCGTTGTATGAGGCTACTTGGTGTGTCAGGAAGGAAGAAGGCAGCAACGGTAATGATGAGGGCTGGGACCGCTGCGATACCCAAGGAGAGGCGCCAGCCCCAGGGGTTGATGCGGGTGGTGCCGTAGTTGATGAGGTTCGCAGCCACAACACCAAATGAGAGGAAGATTTGGAAGCCAGAGTTGAAGGCGCCACGCCACTTTGGTGGCGCCATCTCTGATAAGTACACTGGTGTGGCCTAATTTTGTGTATGTGGAAAAAAAAAGTTAGCATTGTTGACCCTTAGCCAAGGTTGAACTTATTCATCAAGAATTTTATAAGGGATTGTATATTATGATACCCATTGCAAGAAGGTCACAATTACTCTTAACCATTTAGATGTAAAATTAGATAGTTTGAGGTGTATTACGGAGTTTGAGAAATAGTTTTTGAACTTTGAGTTTAGTCGATCACAAACTTACAACCTCCTGATTTGAAGTCTAATAGGCGTTAATAATTGTGACCTCTTTGTGCTAAAAATAAATGACGTCATTGTATAGATTCATGTATTGTAATAATGCAAAAGACTACGGAATACTTGATTGTCTAGAGGGTTATCATTATCCATTTCTATGATGGACAGCGATGGTGAGAGAAGTGGGGCCCAAGAATAATACTAATTCCTAAAGGTCGTCCACTTTGTCTCTATCACCCTCCATTTTCAATGGGCAGAGTTGTCCTAAGGAATATGGTTTTTTTTTTTTTCATTTTCTTTAATTGTAAATATTATAGTATGCTTAAATAAAAAATAATTGAATTTGACAAAAAGTTTTAGTTGAATCTTCTTTCTTTTTTATTTCTCTCTCTCTTTCTCTCTCTTGGGTCAATCAATGGAGATGACAGGCCTGAAATAACTAAAATCACTTTGGTTTTTAGTTAAATCTTCGGTTTTCTTTTTCATTTTAATGTAAATTATTTTCTCAACACTGAATTTCAATAAAAAAAATTTACATACCAAAATAAGTTACACAAATTGGCTCGTTCAATCCTTCTAATGACAAATGTTGATGTCAAGCACTCTTCATTAGGCAATTACATGAGAGATTTTCAAAAATCTGGTTCCCCTTGATATATTAGTAAATTTAACAAGAATTCAAACAAGAAGAACTTTGAAAGCATTAAAAGAAAATATATATTTTAATATAAGCTTGTGAAAAGTTACAAATAAGAAATTTCATCTGGTTTCTAGCCATATAGTCATTATAAATTGATGAATTATATTTTTCTTGAAAATGGATACTCAAAGTTGTAGAAGAAAACCAAAGAAAGAATTTTAAAACAAATTCCAATCCCAAAGAGAACATTGATTTTAGAAAAACTCATGATATTTAATTTTCAGACAAGTTAAAACGAACATCAAGGGCATTTACCTGATTCGTGAAACCTACACCGAAACCCAATAAGATTCGACCCAAGATAAGCATGGCGACGTTCATGGCTGCACAATTGATCACTGATCCTACCATGAAAGCAGAGCCCCCTAGCAGCATGCTTGCGCGCCGGCCCATGACTCGAGTCACCTTCCCTGCCCCAAGTGAGGCCACCAAACCAGCAATGTATAGAGAAGAAGTGAATGAAGTCAGGAGTTGGCTATCATAAACACAGTATACATCTTGTTTGGCTGCCCGCATCTTCCTGAAAATGCTTGGGAAAAATTTCTTCAAGAATGATTCCATTGTTGTTACTCCTCCTGAAAAATTACTCCCTAACTGTAACTTCTTCCTTAACTTGCTGAATGTCTAAAGCAATGGTTTAAAAAACGGATCGGTGATCTGGATTGGGTTTCCAAAAAACCGATCCGGATCGAGGAATCGGCTATCCGGATCGGGAATCGGATGAATCGGTCATAATAAAGCTTAAAAAAAATCCGAAAAAATTATTAAAATTCATTATAAAATATTGTTTTTTAGGAATTCAATAAGAAATGAGGGTACTCCATTAAGAATTTTCATGTTTTTGAATGAATATGCGAATATTGATATGTTCTTTCCCTGCATGAACCGCCATTCAGTATTTAATTTACATCACACAAAAGGATAAACATATAATTATCATGGAATAAGTATATCAACATACATGGACTACAATAAAGTATAAAATTAGTAACATATGATCTAAAAATAAAATGATAGACGACGTTATTGTTCTTCTTGGTCACAATGGTGCCATTGATTGAATTCATTTAACAATTCGTTGATTCGATCTAAAAACGAATCATCGATATTAGCAGGCGTCTGACTATTCCCAAATCCCTGAGTGTTAGTGTTTTGTTGTGTTCCCAATCTAAAATCCCCGAAGATTGTCCATCCTTCATGCTCACCTGCACTATCGTGCTCATCCCTACACTGTTGCTCTTGGGACTCGATATGTGAATAATATGGCTGGGATAGGGTGGCTTCAGAATCATCATCTCTCTCATTTTCTCTTTGAATAATATGGATTCAAAAAATAAATAACAAATTTTCAAAAAAATCGATCATGGATTAAAAAAAAAATCACAAATTTTCAAAAAATTTTATCATGGATTACAAAAAAAATTCGA